GAAAAGTGCCTGGAAGACGCGAGGGATGGGAGGAAAAACTTGCTTCATTTGCCCCATTCCTGGCAGTGTTCAAGGCCAGGTTGGATGGGGCTTTGAGCAGCCTGGTCTAGTGGAAAGTGTCCCTGCCCATGGTGGCAGGTTGGAACTGGATGAGCTTTAAGATCCCTTCCAACCCAAACCATTCTGTGATCTGTATAGTTAAGGAACCAAACAATCTTAGTAGTGTCCTAGAGTTCCATCATATGATAATTGTTCTTTTGCTACCCTGAGTCATGTGGTATGCTGAAAATACGCATGCTGAACAGAAACCTAAACTACTACCATTACCTGTTCACTTATGCAACTGCAACATAAACCAGAGTAACTTGCCTAGCAATTGTTATAAACTGACATCTTTCTTATAGGCCCCTTTTAAGAACTGAAAGGCCACAATAAGGTCTCCGCAGACTGTTCGCTTGTCCAGGCTGAACAACCCAAACTCTCTTAGCCTTTCCTCATAGGAGAGGTGCTCCATCCCTCTAGGCAGGTCTTCATTGTTCCAGGTGAAGATTGTTAGAGTACAGAAATGAAGTACAAAACTGAGTGCAAAGGAAATGCTTCCTCTTACGAACTACTTGATTCAGAAAAGAGTTATTTTTTTGTGCATTGCTAAGTCCTACCCTGGTTTCATTGTATCAGATTAAGGATATAAATGGAAATGTACAGAATAACCGCCACCAGTTTTTCACAGGTTTAGAGTATATCTAAGCGTGACTTACTTTAAATATCATTTACTTATTTAATTAATGAAATACAATGAGGTTTTGGAGTTGTTTTTTAAGAAAGGAAGAAGTGGAATTTAGCAAAAGTATTGCTTCAAATAAACGCAACTTTCCATTGACACAGGTCCTTTAAAGGAAGACTAAAGATGCTCCCCAGCATAATGGTTTTATAAGAGTCAGTGTACAAGAAGGGTATCTTGTGACCTTATTCCTACTTCAGACCTTAGGTACCTAATTTCAGCTCCTGTTTTCTCTGAAAAAACTATATCATACAGTTCATTTTGAAAGTTATTTGGGGTGACTTACACTCCCACATTTTTTGTTCATCCTGTACAGTGCTTTATTGCCTTAATGGAAGGAGTATAAAGATATCTTCCAGGATGGGATCAACTATAAGCTGCATAGAAAATGAGCAACAATTCGTTTGTCATCTTTTTGTACCTGTTTTGTAATGAATCTTTCATAGTATGTAACTGAGTACTTAATCCTACTGTATTTTTGTTTGTGTGCTGGTGCGTTTCCAGTACTGTAGCCAGTTTAAAATTTACAGGCACAAGTTGCACATCTTGTGTCTGCTCCCAAGAGGAGCCATAGGTACCCTGTGCTTCACATTCTTCTGCAACCACTTTGGGTTGCTCCTTCTCCACCCAAGAAATCTCTGGAGTGAGAGTCTTAAGTGAACTGGGTGTTTTATCCTCTGCCTAATTTAGAGTGATAATTCTTGGCCTTGAGATAACATCTGTGTTCCCAGAAAGTGTAGCTTAAGAACTGCACTTTGGCCGTGCTGGTTTTGAGGAAGTAGGGGCCAGTGCCACATATGGGGAAGAGGAACGCCTTGGGCACTGCTCATAGCAGGGATGAACCATGTCATTCCTTGGAAGATGTGAGGAAAGGGAAGCAAATCGAATAGGCCTTGGAAATGGTCCCAAACAGATTGAAGAGGAGAATTAACCACATTAATGATTAATGATGACAAAGCTCATTCAGCTTGAAAAGTACTTTTTATAAGTGCTAAGTGCTGGCATTAAAAATGTATGCATTTTCATTTTAATCCACACTTAGCGTCTGCAAATGGAGGGGAAAAGGGAAAGCCAACAGTGTCATTATGGTAACTCTAATACCGCTCTACAGCTGAAATCACAGTTTGCCAAGGCACATGACCTAGGATCTGGTTCTTGCAGAGCTCAGCCTGCTGTGATTGCTGCTGCTCATGCTTCTCTGGAATTGCTCCACTACCTGCCCTGCAGAGCTATAAATGAGCCTTAGAAACCTGTAAGTCAAACATCTACTAAGTGAACAGTTCTCTTCATTAAATCCCTCCTGATAAAAAGGAAGACTAATTTGTCACGTGAATTTTTTGCACATGCAACGCTTTTCAAGATACCTATTACTGGATATCTGTTTTTCTAAAAAAAAATAAAAAAAAAAAAAGAAAAAAAAAAGAAAAATAGACCTGTTGTCTCAGTTGAATAGGAGGCACAGGGAAGGGGACTCTGACAGACATGATTTGTTGTGCTAACAAGGTGGTGGCATGTTGCCACCAGAAAAGCTGTGTACTAGAGCACCAGAAAACACGTGGGTAGGAAGTGAAGTTTTTGCTGCAATCAAGGTGCAAAAGATAAAATCTAGAATAAAACGTTAATATAGATGATAGGGGCTCTGAAAGGAGCTGAATAGACATCCCAGAGGCAGAACAGAAAGAGAAGAGGCTGAGTAAACTGAAAGTCTGGACCTTACAGCCACAAGCCACATGCAAAGGGTTAGGCTGAAGATGTGCTCATTGATGGGCCTGTTCAATGGTGTGGTTGGAAGGAAGAAGCGGCTTTGTGCTCTGACCTGCAGTCAGGCACTCTGGACTCGGCAAGGTCGATGCAGCCCTTTGCCTTCCCAGGCTGATGATCTTAAGGTCCTTTCCAACCCTAACTATTCCATGATTCTATGATGGTGAGTCGGCAGCTGCATACCTTTTGCAAGTTCTGTCAGAAAATGGTAATTGAAGTCCCTGGTTTGCCAGCTTGCTGCAGAGTGTGTAATCCTTCTCACCTCCCACCCAGCTGTATGCTGAGCTTGTTTTGTAACTTCAAATCACTCTGCTTACTCTTTATTCACGTATCTGGTAACAGAGAATTAGGGGTCTACTTTCTGTAGTTGTCTCTAGTTTGCCACAGCTAGTTGAACTGACAAGCAGTGTGACAACACCACAGGGTGACCCATCTGCTGGAAAGCAGACCCTCAATTCCTCTTTCTCTGTAGCATCAGGCTGGTGTAAGTTGCAGGATCTCTCTCGCTCTCCATCACTCTCTTTGCCTCCCCAGCAGACACCTACCTATTCAGTAGCTCTCACCATGGTGTGGGAAATGTGGAGGTGGAAGGGGGTGGTTGCTCTATAAGAATAACGAGGTTTGGTATTAATTCACCCTTAGTCTAAAATTTCCACCTTTCTTCTCCGTTTTGTTGATGGTCCTGCAGTGCACTACTGTTAGATGCTACATTTTCAGATATGAGTTGGGTAAATTGCTGTGGTTGCTAGGGGAGAAAAGTATTAGTATTACCAATATTTATTATTCAGTCCCCATGGAAACTGTAGTTCTCTGGAAGTCCTAATTCTCACATTTTTCCTTCCTATGGGAAAGATACGTCTTTAACCATGAAGTTCAGATAATTATTTTCTAGAAATAGAAGGCAAGGTACACCACTCCTTTTTGTTCTCTGGTATGCTTGACAGATGTCTGTCTATGGATAGTTACTGTTTACTAAGCTGTGTTGTGGTTTCCAGTCACATAAAGATTTTTGGAGTGTGGTTAATCTAATTTTATCTTGGTAGTGTTTTATTATTTTTTTTTCCCCTCTTAGCTCCCTGTTTGATTTGTCCTTTTCCCCATTACTGTTATTTTTTAGCTTGCTGCGTATTTTAAGTTGAAGAAGAGTTATTTGATGTGGAAATGAACTTGCTGTTTTCTATTTAAAGGCATAACTGTGGCAAAAGCTGTGAGCATGGCCCATGGCTGTGAAAGGGGGACAGTAGTATTTGTATTTTCAAATAATTCCCATTTCAAAGGAAAGCTATTAAAATAGTGACTGGTTTATTCTTGGTAAGATTGTTAACTCAGTCTTGGCTTTCTTACAGTGCCTCAAACAGTATGTGGAGCTTTTGATCAAAGAAGGTCTAGAAACAGCCATCAGTTGCCCTGATGCTGCCTGCCCAAAGCGAGGTCATCTGCAAGAAAATGAGGTATGCTTTTACTACAAGTGTTACAGCTGCCATTGTTGCCAACATACATTTTTAACGTCCTCTAAATGTCACATATTTTGTCTCCATTTGTTGAAAATGCCTTAGATTATTGCTATTCCTAATTGGAAATTTGTCTTTTTCTTTTCCTTCCTTCAACAGATTGAGTGCATGGTTGCATCAGAAATCATGCAAAGGTATAAGAAGCTGCAGTTTGAAAGAGGTAACACATTTAACACTACCCATTGCAAGGCTGTGAGAATGGTATCACTCCAGATTGATCCCATAGATCAGTATCTGGCTCTGCACATACTCATGCAGTAGCATTATACATTAATCATTTGGTCATTGCAAAACAAAGCAACAACAACAAAAAAGCAAAAAAAACGTAAACAGCCCCAACAAAAGAACCCTAAAATTGATTCTGTTCTTGACTGCATGATTCCCATTACTGCAACATTCTGGGATTGAGCTAAGGAAAGAAAATTGCTATGTGTTATATAGCTCTATAAGGGAGGGAGTGACTTCTGTTTCGAGTTTTGCTGTTTAAGTTGACTACCAGTACTCCAGAGGCTGGGGATGTAGACTGACCCCTTTTATGGAGCCACCATTATCCCCTGTAATGCCATCTGGTGCAGAATTCACTAGGCACTTCTGTGTGTAATAACATGAACCTTGTTAATTTTTATGAGGATATAAGCTGACTCTGTGGCTGTGGGGATATGGAACTGTGTGGTTGTCGAGAACTTACAAAAGATTTGCTGAGGGTAGGACCCAGCCTAGAAACCACTGAAGTCATTGGTAGGTTTTTATAAACATCAGTGGGCTTTGAAACATGCAATGACTTACCAGTAAACAGCCTCCAAGAAAGGGCTGAAATTGTAACAGTCTTGCGCTGTTGTTAATCATATGGTTACATAAGGGCAGAGGCCAACTTGAAATAGAGTCCTAATGGGCAAAGCACTGTAAAAACACTTTCTGATGGGTTATGCCTGCATAGTATATGCTCTATTTAACTTGAGATACAACTGAAGAAAATGCAACATCTTATTCTCAGAGCAAGTGTAGTTCAATGAATGAAAGTGGGCAATTCAAACTCGGGAAACTCACTTCAGTTTTGTGCCTGTTTGTAAAGCAGGCCAGATTTATGTCTTCAGCGGGTAGCATAAATTAAAGGGTTTGTTTTGAAAATGTGTGTCTTCAAATGCCCTGCTAGTCAACCTCAGCTGGAATATATTGTTACAGAAGACTGATCTTGTAACCGCCATTGGATCTTGTGCTTTCATGTCCTTTTGCAGAAGTGCTTTTGGATCCATGTCGGACTTGGTGTCCATCCTCTACTTGCCAGGCAGTTTGCCAGCTCCAGGAATCAAGCCCACAGGACCCCCAGCTGGTCCAGTGCAAAGCCTGCGACATTGAGTTCTGCTCTGCTTGCAAATCTAATTGGCATCCAGGTCAAGGCTGTCAAGAGAACATGCCAATCTCTTTTCTTCCAGGAGAAACAAGGTAAAGTATTGCAAAAGATCAGTTATTTAGAAACAAAACACTTCATCTTTGAACTAACTGGAATATGAATAGTAAAGAGGCATTTCCCTGATACTTTGTTTTAAAGCCGCTTCCTTCACTTAGTCATTCCTATTCTTTTAATGCTGTATTCCAAAACTGGATAGCTCTTGGCAGCCTCACTCCTTGCCACCATTCCTGGCAAAACACTAAGGAGCTGCTTCAGCCTTTGCCCTTTTGCCCCAGTGGGAAAAATACAACATCCAGGCAGCTCATGAGCTTTGCTTCCAAGCAGATCTTGCTGCTGCTATTCTGGGCAGCATGAAGGTTGGTAACATCATGCCAGACAGTGATTATTTTTTTTAGGATACCCTGTCAGTCATCCTTACTGCTGCATATTTGGCCAATGATCTTAAGTTCCGTTTCAAGCCATTTCCAGTGGCATACTGAAGCCAATGAATAAGAAAGGTCATTGTGCATGTGGACCAGGTAATGTCTGGGCTTGGCCAGCCTTGGACTTAGCTATTCATAACTTGCCTTTTTTCAAGCTTTGCTGTAACAGATGACTAACTATGATGATGTCATGATGTGTTCTTGGTCAAATGTAGTAACTTCTGCACGTGCTTTTTGCGTGTGCTTGACCAGAACTGCAGCTCACTAAACTTCATGGCAAGGTAAAAAACTTTGTCTGTTTTCCTCAGTGTTTTGGTTGCTTTTAGGTTTTATTTCACGCTTCATTTATTACTCCATTGAAGTTTATTTTTCCATTATTTTAGAGCATAATGTGCCATTAGCATTTTGTGCTACTGTGTGTTTGGAGTTTTGTATGCGGTTTATGGCTTCAAAGCATTTTTCTGTAATACAGTTGCCTGTAGTGTGACCAACGAGTGTGTGTTCTTTTATCCTGCCACTGGGCAAAGCAATCAACCAAGGGTCAGTCCTGTTTTCCAGCAAACTGTTGCATCCTCATCAGTCATTCTTGTATCTCCCACTGGCAGTAGCTGCTGGAAGTGTCATTTTTTAAGGTACATTTTGGTTGTTAGTGTGCAAAAATCTCCATATGGTAGAAAGATACTCAAGGGAAATAAATGTTCTTCCAGTGTTTCCACATTCCTCTGTGTTGTGCCCACTGTATGAGAGAACATCCGATGGTTTTGCACAGCCATGCAAGATGAGGAGAAGCGGTGCTGACCCTAACTCATGAACAGTGACTGGTTAGGATAGTGCTAGAGACAGAGAGATCAACTGTGAAAGAACAGCATGCTCTCCAAACCTCATGATTCCCATACGGAGGGAAATTCCTAGGGAGGATCCTCAAAGAGACAAGAAATCTTATCCCTGGTGCCCCAGTCTGAAGGAATGTGGTCTGGGCTTGTTGTGTCATTCACGGATTGCTTCCTTTTCTGAGGAAGAAGGGAGGAAAATGATCTAGACATACAAAGCATTTAGGTGTGAGCAGGAGAAAACTGTCTTAATATCTATTACTCTCAACAGATAACAAAAACAGTTGGTAAACTATGTGGTAAAGAAAATGTCCTGAATCTTACATGGGCACTGTTGTAATTAAACATTTTTTTTCTTGAGGTATGCTTGAAAAAAGGAGTATAGCCAAAACATCTAATTAGTAAAAGTGAGTTCAATACCTGGATCTCTAGTAATTTCTCTCTCTTTTTTTTTTTTCTTTTAAATGAAAAAGTAGGCTCACCTTCTTCATACAGTTCTTACATGTTCTTCTCTAAACTGACACAGCCACACATCTTACTAATTCCTCATTCTGTCCCACAGTTCAGTTTTTAAAATGGAAGAAGATGACGCCCCAATCAAACGCTGTCCAAAGTGTAAAGTTTACATTGAACGAGATGAAGGCTGTGCCCAAATGATGTGTAAGAATTGCAAACATGCTTTTTGCTGGTACTGCCTGGAATCTCTTGATGTGAGTACATGCCGTGCACTCTGGTTCTCAGAAGCTTAGAAGTTCATTGCTTTGCCATCCAGCTGTCTTGTTAATCAATTAAATAGTAGTTCACTAGCTTCTGCCCAACTTGGTGGACTGCAACCTATCAGAGCTGATTCTGGTAATTTGATAGGATTTCTATGCTCTGTTTTACTTGTCTGACCTGTGTGATCTTAGCACTTTGCCTATATGAGAGTAAAATTTTATGAAAATATTCTATTTGCAATCTTTACGTGGAAACTAACATGGGGAGAGGTATTGCCTCTTCTTTTTTTTTTCCTTTCCTTTTTTTTTTGCTTTATATTACTTCACTTAGTAATGACTTTCCAGTGTCCCCCTCCTTTAAGGAGGTACCAGATGAGCATAGGAATGTTCTTAGTCTGTGGAAGTTTGACAGACAAACTCTAGATTTGGTGTGTCACAATGAAGGAGACCAGCAGTCAGATCTGTTTACTGTTCATTGTATTCTGTGGGACAAGAAATAGGTCTGACATACAAAAAAGAATAGTGTTCTAGCATCAGGAATTTGTCAGTCCATAAGCTGCTGCTGTCATATGTTTACATTATTTTAAAAATCAGCCTGTTATCATGCCCAAGGATCAGTGTATATACAGCATCTGTTTCCATGCCATCTGTTTTATATTATAACATTGTTAACAATAGCAAAGGAAATGTTTTAGGCTCCTGAAAGCTATTCAAATCCTGTGGTTGTCCCATTTGAATGCTTTACTAATGGTCCCTAAGTCTCAGGCTTCTTACATGCTCAGTTGAAAAACAGCGATCTGTTGGTACTCGGCCTGCTATCTTGGCTGGTTTGTAGAAGGTCAGATAGGGACATCATTTATCAAAATTCTGTATTGCCCTTTTCTTATTCCAACTTTGGGAACTCTGTGGTGCAAGTATTCCTTTTCCTTTGCTCTTTCTATGTGTGTGCAAGATATATGCAGCGGTCAGCTTATCTTCTTGGATCCTCGTGCTAAACTCATGCTAACATTTAAATATGCAGCTTGAGAGCCTTTGGGAGAAGAATTCATTATAGATATACAACACTTGCTAAACAAACCTGTTTGTGAAGACACTTTAACTGTAAACAAAGCACTTTGGAAAGGTTGGACCTGGGCATATCCACTTTACTAAGTTTTTATCTTCCTGTGCAATTCCTGGTTATAAGTTCTCAGGAAATAGTACTTTATAACTTGAAGAAGAGTTTGTACTTCTATTTATTGTCTACTTTTTCATTTAATATTTTGTAGGATGATTTTCTCCTTATACATTATGACAAAGGACCTTGTCGAAACAAGCTGGGCCACTCCAGGGCATCAGTTATTTGGCACAGAACACAGGTAAAGCTCAGATCTTTAAAAGCACTTTACAGGTCTACTACTGTCATAGTGCCTTCCTTTGCCGTACTCATTTTAATACCTTAGTATACATTTCTTGTGCCAAATTGTAACTGATTTTCATAGCAGCTTTGAAGAAGGCAATAGGTTAGAGAGGTTAGCTATCCCAGAGAGGACAGTCCTTGGCAGAAAGCCACTGAGAACTAGAAGGGGTATGATTGCAGAGCCAGTTAGATGCCAATCCAGGTATGTTCTCAGTAAACCTGGAGGATGAAGTAGGTTGCCACCATCCATATTATTAACAGGAAGCTCATCATGCAAGGGATCTTTAGCTCCAGATCCAGAACTGGAAATGAATTAGCCCAAGTATGCTAGGTATCTTGTTATGGACTCCAGTTGACTCATTCATGTAAGTTGGATAGAAGGTAACCCCCTGAGTTACCAGTAGCTGCAAACACAGATTCAAACTGACTAAGTGTGCGGATACCTCTTGTAGTCTGGATTCAGTTTTGCTGGACCCAGCATGAATGCTCGTAATGAAACAGCTCTCTGCTCTACTTTCTATGCATACAATGTAAATGCCAGTGTGTGACTTGGTCCAATCTACTGCCTTCATAGTCACTTCAGAGATACAGGGACATCTGGGTATCTGAGTCATCTCTTCCTAAATTAACTGTGTGCTAGTAAAAAGCTACCTTAGCTTGAGATGAAGTGCTTTTGCTTGAAGTACAGATTTCTTTCCATTTGAATGTACACATCAAATCTAGAGAATAAACTCCAAGTCTGGAAAAACAGGTAAACCAAAATAAAAGGTGAAGGATTGCACTCCTCTCCCTCCACTTATGCCCCTGGGTGCTGAGCAATGGACTGGGTTTTGCTTGGTTTACCCAATGTTATCTTAGGAAGTGTGTGACTACATAAGCTTTGTTAATATAGCTGTAATATGAAGTGATTAATCTGATATTTGGAATCTGTTCTTAGCCACAGCAGTTAGTGCATATATGTTTGATAGACAGTATATTTGATGTTTTGGTCATCGTTAAGAAAGAAAGGGGTAATTCTTTATCAATCAGGATGTAATTCTGCCAACCCACTAAAGCTAAATCAACATTGCAATTGTTTCCTTATGTTAAGTTTCTTTGAGTATTTATCCAAGGCAAACTGAAGTGAGCCTTTGGTTTGTTGTTTATGGATTTTAAAAAAATATTTGTTTTGGCCAGAGGGGATGGCTTGATGCTGAGTAGGGCAGCAACTTTGGAAGCAGCAAAACCGAGTAGAAAATGAGTAATACTCAGCAAGCAGTTTTGTTTAAAAAAGAAACAAATAAAAAAAACACCACCACCACCCCCAAATAAACAAACAAACAAACAAAAAACCCCACAATAAATAAAATGAAACTTAATGAATTCTTTGATGATGTATTGAGGCTGAAAGGAAGGTGGAAATAGGTATCTCATAAAAATTACCAGTAGTCAGTCTGGTCCACTGGATTGCTAACTTCCAACTTGGCTCTGTCTGACCAGTGCTCTCTTAGCCCAGGCTGTAAAGAGCTAGGTAAGAGCACGCTGCCTCCAAAAAGCAGTGTGGCAATAGTTGCAGCTCACAGCTTGTAAAAAAAGATGAGAATTAGCTCTGTTTTATGTCTCTAGTAAATAAATGCAGAGATTAGTAAATGGAAGTTGCATCGGATTGTCAGCACCTCCAAAAGAAAGAATGACTAATGAAACGTGCACACCTCTGAAGATGAAAAAGAAATTGCTCTTGGCAAGAAAAAAACATTCTAGGGTGAGGAAGTTTAAGCTCCTTATCCCTGGACAGCAAAAAGCCAAAACTGAAAGAATTTGGCTAGTAGGAGGCAGCAGTGACTGCTGTCCCACAGCGCCATCTCCCGCAGCCATCCTTTCCTCTCAGCCCCTGTCCAAAAATGCCTGGATAGTGGAATTGAAAAAAGAAATATATGGTAATCAGAACGAGAAATTGTCCGTGGCTGACAAAAATACTAGTAAATCATTCCATCTATAACATGGCTAATCAAATGTTTGTCAGTTAATTGAAGTGGTATATCTAGCCCTGGCTAGGAGAATTCTTAATGAGTCCTGCACTCTAATTTCATTTTGCCTTCTGTTGTGAGGTTTTGCAGGCAGATTAGCATTCCACTCCTGCCTTCATTATTCAAAATTATTCACAGACACTCTCGTGAATAAATCTAAATTATTTTCTTAAATAATTTGTGGGCATATTGTTGCAGCATTACTCTTACAGTTGCCTGTGACATATGGGAAACTTCCTCTGGCAATGAACCTCAACTTCAAATTTTTTAAGTCATTTTCCAAATTTAAACACTGTGGAAACTAATAGAGTTTGGCACTGACAGGATGGGTGGGTCTGTGGTCCTCTGCCTATGCTGGGAAGAGGGTGATCAATAAATGTCAGTGAAAAAAAAGTGCTTTTAGATAGAGTTAGGTCCTGTCCTCTGAAGCAGCAGGATGAGCTCATGTCTGAGTGCAAAAACCCATTGCATATGCAGGGTCCTCCTATAGCATTTGTAATCAGTGGCTGAGACTCCCAAGCTTGTGTTCCTGCTGGTGGGAAACTTGTGGGAGTATTCCCATATCTCTGTGATATGGGAACACGAAAACCTTTGGAGCTTTCACCAGCAAAAATGGGAGCACCTTGAAATGAGAGTCTCTAATTCTCTTGTAGTCTTGATCCTGATATTTAATATTTAGGTTTGATCAAGAAGATAGTATCTAAGTGGTTGCTTCATTAGTTGTTTGAGATACAGCAAAACTCAAAAAGGCAACTGACCATCTGCATCACTTTGTGTGATGGAACTGAGTTGTGCGGCATGGTTCTGACTGGAGCAAAGAGACATGAGCGTTCACTCTCTGACTTCACTCATGATTACTGATCGCAGGAGCTGACTGTAGCATACACCTGGGGGGAAGTCCTGGCTCTGGTAAGGTCAATGACATTTGCTGAGATCTTTTTGAAGGACACTGATGTTGCACTGGTGTCAGCAGAATTTAGACAACTACTATCTCTAACACAATTCTATTCCTTTCTCTTACAGGTGGTAGGAATTTTTGCAGGATTTGGTCTTCTGCTTTTGGTGGCCTCCCCTTTCCTTCTTCTTGCTACACCATTTGTTCTCTGCTGCAAGTGCAAATGTAATAAAGGGGATGATGACCCTCTACCTACCTAGACTGAGATTGGATTCATCACAACATGTGTTTTGAGTTTATTGTTGCTGTTGATATTTCCCTCTTGCACTTACATTGCTGTAGCCTTACTTGCCCCATTCTGCTTTTCATTGACACACAGTCTTTGTTCCAGAAACTGTTGTTACTACTGTTGCATAGATCGATCAATAATAGACAAGGAGGGTAATGGAAGGCAAGATTGGTGCTAAAGGGAGACCACGGACCTGGGTAGCTATCTGAAATTAAGGGGTGATAATGCTAAAAATAATGCAAAGTTTCTGCTGCCCTGCTGGTGGACTGGGAAGTGTACTGAAAATGCATACACATCTAACTGTCTGCATATCTGTTCACTTCCAAATTTGGTGTCTTATTCCTGTATATATTTAAGTTGCCTATCATTTAAATCAGTCAACTTAGTGTGACTTTTACTGTGTTTACTACGCATCTGTTTTTGTTAAAGCCATCACAATATCCTTTTTAGTAGCTATTTTTTCAAGTATAACAAAATCAATAAGGTGCATATAGGCCATCCTATGCCTTTCTTCAAATTTGGGGAGGGTTAGAGGGACAAGGTTGGTCCTGTTGCCTTCCAGAAATTTTATGAAGTCTTATAAGAAATTTGTTAGATTGAAAGCTACATTTTAAAAATGAATTGATGAAGCTGAAAGGTTGAGTGGTGACACAAACCTACTGTCTAATCACAGTTCTTTTAAAAATGCATTGATGGTATTGATTACCGCTGGACCACTAGTGTTTTTCTGAATTGTTATTTTTTGCTGTTGTTTATGGTTCTGCTACACTTATAGGGCTACATAACTTCTAATCCAGGTATCTTAATCTTTTTATATAGAGAGAGATATATATAATCCTATTTAAACCAAATGTGTACATAGCTGTGATATTGAAATATTTTGGAAGTTCAGGATAGCTTGCTTCTGTCTTTAGGGTAATTATTAAAAAATACAGGACTAACTTTACTATTTAGACTCTTGGGTTATCAATGAACCTTTCCTTTTAAGTATAAAAATGTAGCAGGGTTATCCCTGTAGTTAATAAAATGCCTGGGATATTTGTGGAAGTTGTACTTTACATTTAAACTATTTAGCCCATTTTCAGAGTTAACATTGTATGATGTATGGTGTGTGTTGTTAATAACAATACTGTGATGAAACAGTTTTTATTTGAAAAGTAATCACTTGATAGTTTTGCGGCATTCACAGTGCTGTGTTTCCAGGGTAGTGAAGCGTGCTAGTCAACATCCTATTAATCATTGTAGTTTCTCTTTAGGAATATTTTGTTGAAAACCATTTTCCTCTGATTTCAAAAGCCTACAAGGATTTGACTAATAACTTCTTGCCATGAAATATGAAGCACCTGTATGTGTATGTCTGTGTGTAGTACTGAAGGAAAACATTCTTCAGAATGGCTTATGGACTGAAGTTTGACTGTGTATTTTTCATCATTATTTATTTCTGTACATTATTGATGTACTGAGATGGATAAATAGCCAGGATAAATTTGCACTGAAAATGTGTTAAGACCCTTAAATGCAACTGCTTCTGGCTGCTGCCACAGGCTGGGAATATGTTTTCACAGCTCAGGCGTAAGGAAATGACTCCTTTCTTTATTATCTTTTTTTTTTTTTTTTTTTTATACTGTCTATTTGTTAAATAAAAAGACTGCAGGGTAGAATTTTGAAAAGGGCCACTGTCTTTTTATAAAGCTACTCTTGAATTCCTTCTCCTCCCCTTTCTGGCAAGTTTTATAGTATCCAAATTCAAACCGTGTCTAACCACAAATTTTATCTTCGGGAGCTGAAGGTTATCTGCAGTTTGCTTCTTTGGCTTGATTTTAATGAGCAAAGAAAAAGGATAGCTGGTTTGCAACAAGTCTTAACTTCTTATGATGTCTTCAGATTGTTTATGGCAGTGTACAGTTCAGACCTTTTGTTATCAGAATGCTTTTAGTATTTTAGCTATCTTTGTTATTAAAAATTGCTCAGTTGTTCAGAATATCTGTAGGAAGTTTGGGTAGTGCATTCGATCACTGATTGGCAGCCCCCAAGGAGTGTGTGAAGCACTGCTGAGGTCAGTGGGCAATGAAGTGGTTATCTCACTCTGACTTTGGCAGCAGCTCAGCCATCTCTCCAGAGGTACCACGTAAGGCAAGCACCTGGGTTGTCCTGAGTTACAACTTCAATGTGCAGAAGTAATGGAAACCCTTCTGCGAAGGACAGCTTCTTGCAGGTAAGCTACAACTGTGGTCTTTCATCCTTGGCCCTGTAATTCTGTTTAACTGGAGAAAACCAAAATGGACAACAGGACATAAAAATTTCATGGGTTGTTGGTTTTCTAATTGGGAGCACTGGGGGATTTGGCTGTATGTGGCAGTGGATCTCATGACTGCTTCTACTACTGGGATGATAGTAAACCGCAGAGGTGCAGTGTCCCCTTAGCAGAACTGGAGTGTCCTAGTATGAGGTTTATTTTCTGTGCCTTTCTTAGAGACAGCCTTTATGTGGCAGTACAGCAAAACTTGAGTTTTCTATGCTACTGTGGCCAGTTAATAATCAATGTCAAAATTAATGCATTTCTAGATTTAAAAAAGGGAAAAAAGTCCTTTACAAATACATACATTTTTAAATAATAGTTTATAATCAATGCTCACAGGTAACATTATATAATCAGAAAACTGTTTAAGTCTGTCAGTATATCTCTGTCTCTGGTCTCAACATACTTGAATTGCTACTGGAGATTTTTGACATATCTCTTATTTCAAACCCTGGCTGTTGGGATAGACTATATGCCTACATTTATTTACCAAATACCTAATAATTTCAGGTTTCCTAAATGTCATTCCATCTGTATTCTTCTCGGGGATTTTGTTTTATTATTTTGCTTTTTTAATGCTGATTTGTTTCCAAAGTAGCAACTTCTGGCGGTGATTGAGTTGAGGGTGTTTTTATGTTGCAGCTTATGTTGGTAGTGTGACATTTAATACCCTGAAACTGAATTGTAAATACATTGCTTTAAACTCTGACATTTAAACCCCTGCCATGGAAAAGTGAATGTTTGTCTCTGCTGCTTTTCAGATGAAATTCTGTTACATCGGCTTTGGCTCTTTAGATTTTCACCAGAAAAATAAGATTCACTGCATGATTCTGTTACGGTTTTATGGTTAAACTGTTATTTAGGTTTTTTGCATTTCTTAAATGTTGTTTTTAATGGAGTTTGTAGCAGTACATCGTTTGCATGTTCTGTTGGGGTGAAGCAGTGTCATGTCAAGCACACAAGTGTGGAGTCCAGGCTCCAGAGTTGCCTTTCATTAGCTGGGCTGAAGTCAGACCTGCAAGAGATCAGTAGCACAGCCTGCACAGACTTCAATGGCCGTAGCATTGGGTTTTCCCCATGTGACATTGGACAAGTCACTAATCTCCTTTGATCTCAGTTTAACTATCTTTTAAATGGATGGACCAGTGTTTACCTACCTCACAGGAAGGCTGTGAGGGCAAATTCAATGGTTTTGAGTCTCTTCAAGATTCTGTGATGAAAGATTATATATAAATTCTTACTGCAGTTTTATGTTAATATTTCAATTTTATTCATGTTGGCATTCATCCTGAAACCTCCTACTACTGACTTCAGCATGCCAAGAGTTTGGGATGCTTTCCCCCACATACCAAGCAGCATGATCTTTCCTCAGATACTCTGGCTTATAAATTAGGCAAAATCCCAAATAAGAGCTGACAGGATCAACTTTCAGCATACACTTGATATTCTGACATGCAGGAAACACAATCAAAAGTAGTGAAAAGCTCTCTTGTTTACAGAGCTGACAGGATAAAATATTCATAGATCAGAAAAAGATAAAGTGCTTTTGATTTAAAATTGTTATAGGCAGGAAAATAAAAATGAAGTTTTGTGCATTTCATCTGTAGGCCTTTTACTGTGTAGGAATAAATATATTTAATACAGGCCATGTTCATCCCAGTGAGGTACAGCATGCATAAAGCTTTGTGCAGGGTTGCTTTTTTAAAAACCAAAGTTCGTACATTTCACATACATAGTCTAAAATCCTGAGGAAAACAGTTAGAATACAGTTGTTGATGACAGTGACATTAAAGACATCAAAGAAGCCTGCATCAGCGCTTAATTGCTAATGCACTTATACTAAGTAAGGCATGCTGTTTGTGTTTAGAGCCCTGTGGTCTTCATTATTGCTTTGATTTGTGTATCTCTTATAAGAATTCCAGGAACATTAGGTACAGGTGTGTGGTACATAACTGAACCTTTCTCGATCATTTTATCATGGATGTATTTTAAACTTGTATAGGGATAAGCATGAAGGAGTCATGCATATGTATAGATAGTGTATTTGACCAGTGTAAAAATAGTTTTGTTGATGTATTTGAAATGTAAGTACTTTTTGTGCCACTAACACTGTGATGTATAAAAGAGCTGTTGAATGCCTTTTAATGTTGTGTTTTGTACTTTGAATCATATTGAAGAGTTTAATTTGTAATTTCAATAGATATTTTAAATGAATGTGTCTCCTGTGGTTCTTCATAGTGACATTTTAGTGGTGTATGTTCACTAAAGAAAAGTGCTTTTGTTATGATAGGACTCCCTATGCTTGTCTGCCTCTCAGTCCTTCAGAGCAAGCACAGCCTGCCAACTGGAGACCTCCTGCCTCCCTTCTGAGCATCGCTGCGGGTTCTGATTCATCATCTCCCATCTTAGCCAAAAGAGTGAATCTGGGTATCTCTGGAGCTAATTTGACCCACAGCTGGGTCTTTGGTCCAGCTCCTGTTACAGTCTATTGATACACACTCTAGCTGTGTGGATGTGCTGCTCTGAGGTTCACGGAGAGGGGTGTATATTCTTGCATCACGGGTTTAAGTCTGGTGGAAGTGGCTGCAAGCAGTTTGTATTCCCTTTGGTTTGGTGTTGTGGAAGTACAGCTTTTAAAAACAAAGCCCAGTCTCCTGACCAAGAGAGCATACATAACTCTCTCTGACAGCAGGAACTGGCTCTCGTGTTCTTGACTCCATCAATCGTTTCTTTGCATTTTGCCTGAACAGTGTCTGAAGATGCAGTCTTTCCTGCAGTCCCCAGAGTTTCTCACTTGCTAGGATAATACAATTTGTCTGTACCCATCAAAAAAGCAGAGGCACAATTTCTTCAAAAACTGGTATTATGCCTCTATGTGCTTTATACTTGGCAATTTAAGAAAAATCAAGGCCACATAATAGCTGCTACTCAGTCATTCCTTCTTTCATTTTCATGGAGCATAGTGATTTTTTCT